AGTTTTGGGCTCCATTCCTCAAGAACGACATTGAATTGTTGGAGAAGGTTCAGAGAAGATCTATTAGAATGATACCTGGAATGGTGGGATTGTCCTATGAGGAGAGACTAAAATCTCTAAACTTGTTTTCTCTGGAGATGAGAAGGGTCAGATGGGATTTGATTGAGGTGTTTAAGGTTGTTAATGGTATTGATAAACAGATCCATCAAACTTTTTGTGTTTATCAGTGAAAACAATAGGACAAGGGGTCATAAGTTCAAATTTTCGCAGTGTAGAAGTCGTCTGCAGTTTAGACAGTATTACTTTACTTTTCAAACAGGGTGCTTGGCTTTTGGAATGAGATGCCGTCAAGGGTGGTGGAGGCAGAAAAATTAACCGAGTTCAAGAAAAGATTGGATGAGTAGTAAGTGGCGGTTATAGTTGGTAGCTGGAATGGACATCCTTGATGGGCTAATAGGCTCCTTTTTGTCCCTTTAAAATGTTATTAATTCTGCCAGTATTTCCCGCTTTTAAATCGTAGCATCGTTGCTACGTCTGTAAATTCCTACACCAGAGTTAAATTTAAATTATAATGATGTTTATTTTTCTTCAATAGTTTATGTTATTACTAAGAGATGGCGCCAGACTTCTCTTCGGAAAGCGAATTTGCACCGTGCCAATGTTGGTTCTCGTTATTACGCCCGCAAGTACTGGAGAGTTTAGTCTACATCGTTTATGATATTGTATTATATTTTTGCGTTCCTTAGGTGCAAAAAGACGTGAAAAATGGTTTCTCTCTTTAAGACATTAAATAATTAAATACGACGTGGAGTTATTGGAAAGCTAATATAATGACCAATATAACTTTTTTTCTTAAAATGAGTTATATGTTCTTCAATCATTTACAAAAATAGCTTCTTCAAGAACTTGGTGAACTTTTATTGATGCAATAATCGTGACTCTGTATTTTGAAGAAACAGTTCAGGTAAGGATTTACGAAGTTTTTATTCGGCTTGAAAATATCAAAATGAAATTTATTCTTGAGCGTTTAAAATTAAAGATTGGAATATTAATTATTACAAACTAAAATAGATTTGTAAAAGACACAAGTGCAAGGATATGCATTCGTTTTTGATTCTGCGTTGAAATATAAAAAATAAATTAATCTTCAGCATTTAACATTAGAGATTGGAATAGTACTTATTATAAACTAAAATATATTTGTTATAAATACACGCCTATGGAAATGCCAGTTTTATGCGATTAACCTTTTATTTTGCAATAACATAATGCGTTCTCATAAATGCAGACTCCTGGTAGTTCAGTGGTAATTTTGAGGGCCTGTAATGCTAAAAAGCTGGCTTCGATACTCGCGGTGGGCATAGCACAGATTGCCCGTTGTGTATCTTTGCACTTAACAACAAAACAAACAAACAGACGTAAATGAATTTTCAACGAAAAATTAGGAAATTAGGTTGGTCTAAACAGTTTGTCAAGTTTTACTTTGTACCAATCATCAGCCGAAAGTAATACAGGATGAAATTAGTCCTAAAATTATTTGTCAGTGTTTAGACTTAAATAGTCAGTGTTTTTTTTTTTTTTAGATAACTAACATGTGTATATTCAACATTGAGAGATATAATTAAAAACCACATAGGAAACGAAAATATGGAATTTAAATAATAGGTTGAACAACGGCCAAGTTGGCCATTGTTCAACCT